TTTGGAGAAAGTCCAGAGAAGGACTTCTGGGTGGTGGCACACAGGAAGGGAAGTCACGGCTCTCACCTCCCAGTGCTGTTGCTGCGGCAGCTCCCCACAGGACAGGCGTTTTCCTGGGCTGGGGGGCTGGGACTGTGTCCTTTTACAACACCGGGGGTGGATCCCACCTCTATTCCTTCACTGCAATCACCTTCTGTGGAAGGTCCAACCTTATGTTAGTCTTCAGGGGGCTGGCACATCTGCGCCCACCTGCATAGCTTCCGGTCACAGCGAAAATTGTCCTGATTGTCTCCAGTGACCTCTTAACTCCTTGAAGTAGTTTTGAAACAAGCGAACTCTCTATCACACCGTGAGAAGCAAAGGTTTGCGTCCCTAGGCACCTTGCTGCCTCTACTCCAGCGTCCTGTGAGCGTGTTCTCCAGGTAGAGAGTAGTGAAGGGACTTCCATTTCAGTGGGTTTGATTCCAGGCTTTTCCACAGACAGAGAGGCAGAAAGAGAAATGAGACAACTGGAAAATGCCAGGGGAATTTCCTTACTCTTACCATTAGAGAAATCTTTGTGGGCAATAACAGTTTGTCACAGAAAACTCTAAACAATCACCTGCATCTCTTTTCTGTTTTCTTCTTGAGTTGTGTTGAGTAGATATTTTAAAACCAACATTTAAAGAGAAAATCTCTCTCCTTCCTTCCTTCCTTCCTTCCTTCCTTCCTTCCTTCCTTCCTTCCTTCCTTCCTTCCTTCCTTCCTTCCTTTCTTTTTTGTTGTTGTTGTTGTTATCAAGTGTGGAGGACGGGTGGGACTGAAAGGGAAGGTCACAGTCGAGTGAATTCTCACTACATGTTACCACTGTTGGTGGGAGATACACAGAAATCTATTCAAGTTTTTTGAAAGTTAATAGCTCAGGTTGTCCATTCTTCAGGCTCTGGCGTCCCATAGACTCTTCATCTTGGACTTTGTCTAGGGAGGGAGAAGTCCGATGTGCAGCTGTAAACCACTGGGACAGGGAAGTCCAAGCTTTCCGGGAGGAAAGAGCCTTTTTCTTTAATAATTTCTCACTGGTAAGCAAGTCCAGAATTGTGTCCTGTGTGAGAATGGCGAATGAAAACGGGATTGACATTGAAGTTTATGCTTTCAGAGAGAAAACAACTGAGTAGGAATGAAGAAGCCCCTGTAGCCTTCATGGAGAAAGAGTCATTGCTAACACTAGCATTATTTTTTTCTGTCTATGTTTCTCCCGCTGCTGAGGATTCCCCATCTTCACTGCACCTCAGCCTTCTCCAGCCGCTCATCACCAAGTTGACGCCTGTAAGGACACAGAGTACGAGCTTCTTCTGTTAAATGAACCCTCTCTCCCTGGCGGTGGAATTAGCTCTTCTGCACTACTGGCAGATCCTTAAACCACAATTCCCTTTAACGCCCTCTCTTGGAAGGTGTACCTCCTTGGTGAAACTGCCCTGGCGCACGGTCACTAAGTGCCAAAACTAGTAGTTGAACCCAGGAAGAATCAACCCGGAGCCCAGAACCTTAACTTTACAGACACTAACGGGAAGACCTACTTAATTTAAGCAAGAATGATAAAGGCAGGAGAGGAGCAATTAAATGGTGGGAAAATAATGGCTATAATCAAGTGGGCGTGGTGAGTAAGAAGGGATTTGGGCATAAACTCTCTATATGGGGGTAACAACAAAACAGGAACAAAGGGAGTGGAACTGTGACTTAGAACTGTGACTTAGAACGGCTCTGAATATTTTACTTTTTTTATACACTCAGGACATTCAGCATGAGGTTTCCAAATAAGTTTTTAGTATCTCTCCTATAGGAGGAGCTGAATTTATATTTTCCTCTAAAACAAGATTCTTTCACTTATCACTTCTCCGCTCATTTTAATGTGTGTTTGTCCTTCTAACTAAGCTTGGGGATTGAGGAGCAGTGACTGGAGGTGGACGGTGAGAGAAATATGAAGGCAGATGGTCTACTGGAATCAGCGTTGCAGAAATGCAGGGCTAACAAAGCCCACCTTGTCCTCATCTGTGGCTGCAGGTAAGTCAATAAGCAGGGCAGGGTCTCCAAGTAGCCTATACTTTCTGGCAAAGTGAAGTCACAGTCTGGCTCCATCAATCAATTCTTTACTACTGGACTACGCTGGCAATCCCATTTTCAGTGAAGTTTATGAAGGTATAATAAGACTTTCAAAAACAAAGTAACTGAATGAAGAAGTGCCTGAGGGTGTCTTATTAAGGATTGTATCTCTAGGCCCTAGCATAGTGCATTCTACAGATAAGATATTCAATAAATATCTACTTTATGAAATGATGCGTGTGTTTTACAAATGTTTATTGATCAACCAATGCATGCCAGTCTTTGACATTGTGAGGACACACATACACTGCACACAAAATCACTGTCCTCACGAATTTACACCATGCTGACAAAAGAGGGAGGTGAACAGGCAGGGAGGTTGACAAATTTAGTCTCTCTGGCTTCCTCCTGTCCTCCCCCTGAAGCTGAGATCCAGCCGTGCATACATCTATTTTGAGAGTCATCCTGCTTTATGTGACTACACCCCGCTGTCTGCACATCAGGCGTGGGAAGGGCCTGCTTCCTTGATGGGCCAGTGCAGTCACTCACCCATCAGCCACAGTGACTGTCCCAGTGACCGGGGCCATCGTCCTCAAGCTGCCCTGGTCAAAGTGGAATTGGAACTGAAAAACTAAATTAATCACCAGTTTGGGAAGCTACAGGGAAATATGTTTCTTAGTATATACTGACAGAATGTGACTGATTAAAAATAAATTCTTATGAGACTTTCTCCCAGGAAAGCCTATATATTTATTTATAGGGCTTGCACAAGTATAGACTAACAAGCAAAGAACAAGATTGACTGGGAAGGAAGACTCAAAAATAAACAAAAAATAACAGTTAACCTTCAAGCATTATTAAATAAATCATTTTATTGCACTAAATCAAAATAGAGTAATGTTAAAATATTTTCCAGAAAAACTAGCATATTTACTAATAAATTTAAGTTTTCAAAAATATAAAGGGCATATCACTGTAATGTATAAATCATTTGTAAAACACCATGGAATGTACAGCACAAAAAGCAAACCATAATGTAAACTATGGGCTTTTGTTGGCAATAACGTATCAATATTTGTTCCTCAGTTGTAACAAATGTCCCACACTAATGCGAGATGTTAATAATAGAGAAAACTACGGGGAGAAAGTAGAGAGATTTGGGGATCTGGGAACACTCTGGATTTTCCACACAATTTTGATGTAAACCTAAAACTGTCTTAAAATGATGTCTGTTAATATTTTTTTTAAAAAAAGAATGAAGTACTGGTATGTACTACAACAAGGAAGAACCTTGCAAACGTTGTGCTAGGTAAAAGCCACATACAGAGAAATATTTTATGATTCCACTTATATGAATCATACCCAGCACAGGAAAGTTCATAGAGACAGAAAGCAGATTGCCAGGGGGTAGAGGGAGGGAAAAACTGGGTAGTAACTGAAGGGCTCTAGTAATGCTTAATGGGTATGGGGTTTACTTTGACGCGATGAAAATATTCTGAACTAGATAGTGGTGACAGTCTCACACATTGTGAATGTACGAGACACCACTGACCTGTGCACTTTAAAATGGTCAAAATGATAAATGTTATGTTAGGTATATTTTATCACAATTGAAACCTTTTTTAAATAAAATAAAATAAATGTGTAAATATTTGCAGAAGAATAATACATAGTTTGAAACATTAACTTGAGTTCAAAAATGCGAAACCAAAAACTTGAGGCCTAGACTGGAAGCTCCAGAGTGCTGCAGTGAGCGGCCCACGCAGGACGGGGATGCCTGTGTGCTCTGCCGTCCTGGAAAGCCAGTGTCAGTGGCACGGGCTCCTCCTTCTCAGTTAATGAGATTTTAAGACTGTTTCCAAAAATCTTTCTTTTTCACATTCTTTTTTCTTCCACATACAGTTTCTCTTCTTTAAATCATTATGACTTTAAAATATTCTTTACTCTGTGTTGCATTTATTGCTTATGTTTATTTATCTTATAATTATTAATTTTAAATTGTGCATTTTATTTTTCTCTGTAAATAAAACTGAAATTTTCATATACATGATGCATAATTAATTTTTCTCTTGGATTAGAATGCCTAAAATTTTTCCTCATTCAACATCCTCTATTAACCTTCTGAAGTAGGGATTTCACAACACTTCATTTAAGTTTCAAGATTATATCTTAGTGATCAGATTTTTCTCCTTATATTCAGCTGTATTTTCTCTTAATCTTTTTTTAACTGTGCTTTTTGTTTTCTCAGCTCCACTTATATGGACAATTAATTGTCATCATCTTAAAGAAACTGATCAAATACTTGATTATTCCTTTCATTTCTTCCTCTAGCCTAAAGTGTATTTTCCAATGCATTTCCTAAGGGTCCTTGGGCACCAGCTGTGAGACTGTGATCAGCAGTCTGGGGAGCAGAGACTGCAGTAGGTCAGGTCTCTGACGGGCCCAGTCTCCAGGCAGATGTGAAGCCAGAGTGAGACTAAAGCACTGGACTTGGCACTTGATGATCTTGTGGGTCCCTTCAAGCAGTTGGTGAAAGGAGACAAGATCTAGGACCCAGAACATCATCTGCGTTTCCAGAATCCAAAGTTGCTATTTTCCTTGGAGATGTTGAAGAGGCCCTCTGGTTGCAGAAAAATTCCCAGAGAATCTACATCCAAGGACCAAAGAATGAAGAGGATGCAGAGTCCCAGAAAGTCTCGGGGAGGGTGTCGACAGGGCACTTGCTGGGGGCGCTGTGAAAGGAGAGGGGTCCAGAGGCACAGTCAGGAGGTTCCGGCCTGTCCAGGGCTGCCTTAAGGGAGAGGAGGATTGGAGGAGAGGGGACGGCCCAGGCGTCACTTCCATAGCAACCCATCGTGTGAACCCTATCCCAGGTGACACAGAGATGGCTCCTTTCCTCACACTGTCCTTGGCAACACCCGGCCCATCCCGCCCCATGCCCAGCCTCCGCCGCGCAGGGCCGCCTCCCTGCCTTGAGCCCCTCCCGGCCCAGCACACAGAGCAAGCAGTCACGTCTCTTGGGGACGAACTTCCTGGCTGCCGAACGTCCAGGGGACACACCCTCGCTTCCCTTGGGAAGGATCAGTTTCCTGTGTTTGGATCCTGTGTCACATTCACTGCGAAGAAAGAAAATCCATTCTGACAATTAATCAATATTGAAAAGTGTTAATTTTATGCTGTTAACATCCAAACAGGCAAACACATTTTCCCTGACATAAGAAATTAAAGTGGCAGCCTTTACGGAGGGCACAAACAGCCTCTCTGTCAACACGGGGGGTCCTCCACTGGCCGAGCAGGAAGCACCAGTAAGTGGGTGCCCACATTTTTAAAGATGGGAGTGAAACGTTCATGCCAACAGAACCTCAGTGAATTCTTATCTCTCAGCTGCAAAACAAGGACGGCTATGCCACTGACCTTTTTCTTCCTCTCCCTGGACTAGATCACTTGGAGATGGGCAGTGGAATCAAATTATTGTCTGTTAGTCCTTTTGTTTCTATTACCACTGTAAACTGTGGCCCCTGGGCACTGAGCCTCAATGACAGCGCGAGCGTGGGCTGTCATGACCGGGCACTCGCCCAAAGCCCCGGGCCGGGCTGAGTGCTGACAAGGGGGCTGGGGGAGTGCTCGGCTCAGTCCGCGGCACAGCGCCCACGCTGCTTACCAACCTACCTTTGCCTCGGCTCCTCCTGATCAGGCCTACAGCCGCAGCAAGAAGCAATCCCCAAATCGGCAGTATTTTGCGGGAGCACAAAAAAGTCATCTGGGGCTCTAAAATGGAAACCCAGAAGAATCCCATTAAATCATGAAACTGGGACAATATCAAGATCGTCCTTTTCATATCTGAGCAGCTCCTGGGCTGGGGAGGAGGGAACTGGGCTTGTCAGGGAGGCGGCTGGTCCGCTGCTGCCTGCCCCGGGGAGCAGAGGGGAGCCTGGTGTAAGCTCAGCCTCACTCAGCGTTTGCTCCTCTCAGAAATGCGTGTGCAGGTGCGCACACACACACACACACACACTTTTTTCCTTCTTTCTTCCGCTTATATCATAGAATCCCTGGAATAAGTGAGGTAGCAAAAGGATAAAATGCCCCAGGCCACAGCCAGGAAGATGGCATTAGGGAAAATTAGTTTCTAATCCAGAAGAAAATCCACCATGAGGAGGAGAAAAACAAAGTTCTGTAATAGCTTTCACATCAGAAGAGGAGAGTTTGGGGCTACAGTGAGGACAGACTCAACTTAGTCTACACCCAGCAAAAAACACAACTCTAGGCCTTGTTTGGGGAGAAAGTCAGGCCAGGAGATCCCTGGGTGTCCTGAGCACCAGCCCAACACATAGCAGGATACTTCCTCACAGAGAAGAAAATACAAGTTTTTAAAGAAGAGCAGTAAAATGAGTAAGTTTGGGTTGGTTGATGTTTGTTTCCCAGACCTGAGAGGAACGTGTGGAATCACCAACCTGAGAGGGAAAAAGTCGCCGTTCTCTCCTCACCCAGAAGGGGGCTGCTGATGGAACAAGTCACCTTCGCAGCGGTGATGTTCATGAGGGACAGAAATGTCTCCACGTGGAACAGCCCGTGGCTGCCTTGAGTCAGGTTCTCGGAAGATGGTGGCAGTGTCTTCCCTTCCGCGTCCCTCCACCGAGCGAGGGGCCGCGGGAACCACCCACCCGAGGAGCAGGTCAGCTGTGCTTCTCCCGCCCGCGCCGCCTCCAAGGTGATGAGCGGGGAGGAACCCAGACCTGGGGACAGAGAGCCAGGAAGCAATGCTGAGAGTCCCTGGGGGGTTGTGTGGCAGGGACGTCACTGGGGGGGGAGGGAATTGTGCTCCCCCAGGGGAAAGCCTGGCTGGGGTGTTATCTTGTTTTGTTCATTTGTTTTTATTTTTATTTTTTGTATTCCTAAACCACCCAGAGACAGATTAAGAGATAAGACACATTTTCAAATCCAATATTATCTTCTGTCCCTGAGAACAAAATAACTTTGACAGGACATGGATCACATGGACAGGAGTAAAAAAAAAAAGTAAGAGAGAGAATATTCTCAAAATCAAAATCTTATAAATATATCTACGTCCAATAGCAGCAAATGACGAGGCCCATTCGGCTTCTCATCATGAGTCCCTGTGGATATTTCCTAAATATATTTATCAATGTAGATTCAGAATCCATGGGAGAAAAGTGCAGGCTATGGAGGATTGGGGCCTATACCGTCAATGGCATTTGCTAACCTTGGAAAATGATTCTCTCAGATGTAGACAGTGGGAAATGGTGATGCAGGGAGAGATTTTATCTTTCCTCCTCTGTCCCTGCCAACACTGTCAATCTATATGATTTTTGTTTATGCAGTGGGTCTAGTTTATTCTTCAAATTATTATACTTCCTAGTAATCATATTTCTCAGAGTTTTAATAACAAACTATGAATTAATGAGTCCTATGTCAATTTATGGAATAAAATTCTTAGATTTCCATAAATATGTGCTCACTTTTTAAAAATATTGGAAAGGATACAAGTTCTATTGCCTAAAGAATTACATGTGTAATTTGAGTTTGTGGACTTTAAGTATCTATGACACTTCCTGCACACTGGAGGGTTTGATATAAATTTGATGACAAATGCACATTAAGAAAATTTCAGGTGCAGAGTCATTTCCTAGGAACTAGCATGTTAAAGTGGTAGGAACAGATGTTAACTCCAAAAACATCTATCTGGAATCCTTACCTACCACCTTTAGATCCAAACTGGCCTCCTGGTAGACACCATCTTTTTCAAAAATGCAGCGGTACTGCCCGTCATCCGAAGGCCTGGCGCTGCGTATCTGCAGGGTCAGTCTGCCCTCGTCGATGGCGTCGCTCACCAGCGCCGTCCTCCCTCTGTACTCTGCCATCTGCTCTCCAGCCACAGGGCCCCCATCCGCGTGCACGTGCACAGCAGGGTAACGGTGGGATCGGACCCACCTCACCTCCATGCTCTGAGCATTAGCCTTGGGGGACAGGTGACAGGTCAACTGTGTGTCTTCTCCCACTCCGACAAGGATGGGCTGGGACGGTCCAATCACTTTTAAGGAAGCTGTTAAATACAGCAGACAAAACCCAATGAAAGTATCAAAATGGGGCAAATTATATCCTAGCAAGAAAGTCTCTAGTGGGGTTTAGAACCCATAAGCATCCCAGGGAGCTGTGAGGGCCAAGGTCATCCTTGGGAGAGGTGGGGGTTTCGTGGACTCCAGGTTGACCTCCTTGTTCAAGGAAGAACCATCAATGATATGTGTCAGTCCAAAAAAATTCAGTAGTTGAACCCTCACTAGCCCCACCTGTAATTTTATTCAGTTTACAGACCGATGATAAAATAATTTTGCAATAAAATCTCCCAGAATAAAATAAAGGATTTACAAATTTTGCCTGAGGATAGCTCTGTACCTGAGTCCTCATGTAACAAACTGCAACCTAACCTAGTGTGTCAAGTAACTGAAAGCCTAACTAGGAGTGCACTTTGGTAGTGAATATCTGAGTTGCAGCCCCACTGGAGCCCATTGCAGGTGGACAACTGCTCAAACCACATTCAAACAGGCAAAGGCCAGCTCTAGCCAATGGAGCTGTCTTTGTACCTCACATCCCTTTTCTGTCCAGAAATGCTGTCTGATCAAGTTGCTGCCTGGAGTTCTCTGAATCTATTCTGGTTCTGAGGGCTGCCTGATTTCAGAATCATTCTTGGCTCAATTAAACATTGCTAAATTAGTGCGTCTAAAATTTTTTTTATTCTTTCCACCTTTTTTGTTTTTAACTTTTTTTTTATTTTTTTTTTGCTTCGTTTTTTTAGGTTTTAATTTTGGCTTTTTCTTCCCCTTTTCTTAGGTTTGTTTTTTTTTTTTTTGGCCCTTGGTTGCCCCCCCCCGTTGGGCGGGGGCCCCGGGCCTTGCGGGGCTTGGGGTGCCAGAGCCAACCCCACCCTCTGCCCTGATGCTGGGTGGGGTTGAACGGTAGTCCCATGTGGATATTTGGTAATGAAATTGAAGAAACTTCCCTCTAGATGGTCTTATAATACCTTGTATTTCTGGTCCAGCACCATATTTTCTTTCTGCAATGTTCCACATATGGGGGATTATAGACCCAGACAAGCTGAATGTCCTCAGATAACTCTGAGAAACATTTCAAGATCAAGAATTGAGAAGGTCCACAAAATACAACCGTGAAACAACGATGGATGCACGAAAGATGTCTACTTCTCCCATTGTGGAGAGTGGGGAGGATTTTTCTCTGAGGGAGTTCCTGGATCCAGCTATATTCCAGTTTCCATCTCATCAGGCCCTGACCATGGCAATTTTGCCCTATTCTAAATTGAGGGTCATCCTCTTCTTATCTTCTATAAGAATGGTTTTGCATTTGCTGTGATCACTTATAATAGAAATACAGGCATAAAATTGTAGGTATTCTGCTTGGAGTCAATGGCCAAAGGCCATAACATTCCCATCATGTCACTGGCCAAAAACCCGCTACATACCTGTCTAGAGAGGAAGGTCACTATTAACACAATTCTAATTTTTAGATTACTTCCTTCTATTTTAGCTGTTAATAATTTTGACTCCCAATTACTTCCAGCATTTTGTTTGCTTTGTCCTGAAATTTTACCTGAAACATTATTATCAGAATTGATATTGGGCGGAGCAAGATGACAGATGAGAAACACCACCAGACAGAGTTTCTCTGCAGAAAATACAGATTCTAGAAGAAAGAAGCAAGCAGATGAGCATACATCAGAGGAGGGTCAGAAGGAGGAGTACAGGAGACTATGGGAGACTCTATGGGAGGAGGTTGCGGAGAAGAACTGGAAGCAGAGACCTCCTGAGTAGCCTGGAGAACAGCGGCAAGGGTAGGTGGAGTGGTTAACTTCCCCCTCCTTTGCATCGCGGACTGCTGGTGGGCTCCCCAGTGGTTGGAGAGACCCGTGGACACCAGCCCAAAGACAACTGCCATCAGTGAATGGTAAGCCTGTAGTGGACATGGCACCAGGTTCCCAACTCCTTTGGGGCACCTCTGTGTGCACATACCCAAGCCGCACAGCAGGCACCATATTGCTACACTCTCCCCTCCCCAGTCCCTATCCGCGGCTGCCAAGAGAGACAACGTAGCCACCAGCCGGAGGCACCTCCAAGGAATGGGACCTTCCCTTTTGGTGCCTTACAGCTGACTGAGGGGTACTTAGACTGTGAGCTCTCTACCAGCCAGCTCTCCCAGGTGCCACTGGCCTGGTGATTCCAGGAGAATGGGGCAGACCCTGAGGCTGAGAGACATCAACCCAGTTTGGGTTCCCTGTGGGGGAATTAGGATTGGCACTCCTCTCCCTGGTGGGGTCAGGGATTGAACTCTGGGGCCCAGAGGTCAGACCTGCAGACCAAATCCCATGCACCCAGGTCTCACATTGCCCAGGGCACAGAAGGGATATTCCTGAACAAGCCTACTAAGGTGTGTGTGCCTTCAGGGGCAGATCAGCGTGCTTGAGGGCAACCCTCCTCTCAAAGAGGGGCCATGTGCCCAGCCCAGGCAGCACCCTGTGCAGGGAACCTCCCAGCCTACATTACAGCCAGGGGAGACCCGGTGGTGTGAGGTCTGGCCTGCTGGCAGAGGCTCAGGAGAAGCCATGGAGTTGGGGAGGGTGGAAAAGAGTGAGGCCTGCTCCAGACTGCAGGTCTCAGACAGCCACACCCCCACATGTAGACTTTCCGGCTAAGAGGGGCCATTCCAGCCCCTCCCTGAAAGCCTTTCTCAGAAGCAGAGAACAGAACTTTGACCCCTGCTAACGGCATTGGTGGTGCCTGAGGGCAGGCTTACCAAACACAGCTCTTCCCAGACTCACTCCCAAACCAGCCCTCACTGAGGAGGAGAAAAGGACACACCTGGAAGTCCCAGGGCCCCACCGACCACCTGAGGCACCAGAGTGCCTCTCCAGAGGAACAAGAGATGGTTACAGGATCCCAAGACAGCAGTGTAGCCTGTTCCTACAAGCAAGAGCCACCTACTGACAGGGAGGACATTCTGAACACCCTTTGATGGCATCCACTGATTCATCATACAGGGTGTGGTCGAATCTCACCCACAAACACCACCTACTGGCTCAGAGACTAAACAGGGCGTGTCATTATCCAAACAAAACCTAAAGGTAAGAAGCAACAACTGATCCAGATGGGAAGAAGTCAGCAAAGAAACCCTGGAAATATGAAGACCCAAACAGAGCATGCCCCAAAAAAGGAACACCAGCCCCTTAGAAATGGACAGCAAATAAAATCAGACCACTAAAATGACAGAAGAAGAATTTCGAACATGGATTGTAAGAAAATTCAATGACTTGCAAGAACAACTGGATAACCAACACAAAGAAAATGCAAAAGGATTCGAGGACTTGGAACAAAAATTCACTAATGAAATTGAAATAATAAAGAAAATAAAGAAATTGAAATAATAAAGAAAATAATAAAGAAAAACCAAACTCCTGGAAATGGAGAATCAATTCAGGGAATTACAGAGCACAGTGGGAAGCCTCAAGAACAGGGTAGGTCAAACAGAAGAAAGAATCTCAAAGATTGAAGATAACACTAGCCAATTAAATAAATCAGTCACAGAGATAGAGCAGAGAAACAAGAGAAAAGAGCAAAGCCTACAAAGGATGTGAGATTATGTGAAGAAATCTAATGTGAGGATTATAGGGTGACCAGAAGGGAAAGAAGAAAATACTCAAGGGTCGAATAAGCTATTTGAAGAAACAATAGAGGAAAATTTCCCAGGCCTTGCTAAAAATCTGGAATAACAATTAAGAAGTCAAGGACCCTGGAGAATCAAGCAACGGGAAGACTTAAGCATGTACATCATATACGAACCAAATATCCAATAAAGAGCCCTTCTAAGAGCTTAGATAAAGAGCAGTACTACAAGAGAGAGCCAATCGAGTTACGTCAGACTTCTCCTGCTGAGACTTTACAAGCAAGGAGAGACTCGCCCATCTTACTCTTTTGAACAAACAAATCCCAGCACTAGAACTTATATCCCTGCATACTAAATTATAAGTAAGGAGAAATTAAGACATTCTCATATAACAAAGACTGAGGATTACCAAGAAAGACCAACGATCCAAAATGACTTAAAACAGTGTACCCACTGATCAGCACCAATAAACACGAATGTAACACTAAAGCTAAGATCAAACCTAGATATCACATGCTCAAGAGAGAAACAAAGCCAAACAAAGTAACCAACAAATGAACAGAAATCTGCCACCTATCAGTTCTCAATAAAGTGAATGGCTTGATCCCACACAAGAGACACAGCGGCCAAAATAAGAAAAAGAAATACAACCAAGATCTGCGCCTCAGGAAACATCTAACTAAGGATGGCATATAGACTAAAGGTTAAAGGCGGTGGAGAACAAATTCAGAACGGAGCCAAAAAAAGCTGCGGGCGGGGCGATCAACGATAATACTACATTTTAATCACAAAAGTAAAAAAAACAAAGAAGTCACTATATAATGGGAAGGGTACAGTTCAAACAGAAACAACAACCCTAAATATATGCACCCAACCTGTGCACCAGATCATTAGCAACAACTACTTGACGAACAAATGATAAACAACCAAACAACATAATATCAGAGACTTTAACACCCACTGACAGCACAGACACTCAAACAGAAAACAACAAGAAATAAGATCACACAGACCCAAAAATGGGCTGACTGACTTACAGGACATCACCCAAAACCACTAAAACATTCTCCTCATTCAGCTCATGGGTCATTCTCTAGATTGACCATATCTTAGGCACAAACGCACATCTCGACATTAAAAAAATAGAAATTATACCATGTATCTTTTCAGGTCACAATGGAATAAAAGTAGAAATCAATCCTAACAGGAACTCTCATTTCTCCACAAAGTCATGGAAACTAAACAACCTTCTGCTGAATGATCACTTCATAAATGAGGAAATCAAGATGGAGATCAAAAGATTTTTGAACTAAACGACAAGAGAGACACAAATTGTCAAAATCTGTGGGACACAGCTAAAGCAGTCCTGAGAGGAAAGTTTATTTCCCTAAATGCCTATACCCAAAAGTCAAAAAGAGCACAAATAGACAACCTAATAAATCGTCTCAAAGAGCCGGAAAAAGAAGAACAGACCAACCTCAAACCCAGCAGAAGAAGTGAAAT